GTTGTTTAAACAACGGGAGGTCCGACCAACTAGCACACAGTACTTCATAGGTAGCTCTGTTGCAAACAAAAGTTTGTGGATTTGTTGGTTTCCTCAGGTCACATGTGGATGTGACCCTGGACAGGATAATTGGCTACCAACCTGTGTGATTGGACGAAATGTGGATTTAGTGTAACTTGCTTTTCGTGGTTGGCATGACTGGAAAGGTTCTTCATATCAGTTCAGTTTATTTAACAGATTCATAAATCTAAAATATTTTCTATTGGACTTTGTTATATTTTAAGACTTTAGAAACAACATTTTAGGTTTTTAATCAGCTGGTGTCAAAAATCTAAAAAAATAAAAAAATTGGCCTTTTTTCTTTATATGTCCTTTCCAATGACATTCTAATGTGCTAAAATGTACATGTATAGAGGCAAACCTAAATGTACTCTATTAGAGAATAGGTATTGGATCTGTCTGATATCAAACAGCAATACCATTGGTTGAATATTTTTAAACCAAACTCTAGCTGTGCACCAGACATTTGAAGAATGGTATCACATCTTTGGGCATGGATTAAACCCATCCTGACCTTTCTAAATGTGGATTCATTGAGTGTGAAAGCAGAGCAGCATGCAGACAAACCCCAATTAGGTGTCCTTTGCTGGTCCCCTCCTTGGTGCACTGTCCCTCACACAGTGGTACTTCCAGGTGTCTCTGCTGTCCTTCTAGTCATTTGTGTATTTTTGGAGTTAGCAGGACATTTTTCCCAGAGATCATTTACATTTTTATACTTGGGGGAAGATGTCAGGTGGGCTACAGGGTCCAGGCAGGTTGGATGATACACCTCAACACCACTCAGGCCACCCCCTGAAGCTCTTTTCCAACTTTTTACTTTATCTCCCTCTCACACGTTTGACCCCTCTCTCCCTCTGTTTCCATTCCCCGTGAGTCTTACGCAACCGCTGCCATGACCTATGTAGTAAAGGCCACTCAGCAGTGGGTATGTGCATGTGTTTTTACACCCCCAACCCCTCTAAATAGGTTTCCTGAGAAGGCCTGTGAACAGTTTAATGAAGATCTCATGTGTGCAAGTCCCTCGCAGGCATCTCCGGTGGGTGTCTGGAGGTAAACACTGACCCTGATGTGTCAGTTCTGCTTAAAAGAATGAAGGAAGAGCTGGTGGAGCACAATCACACACATTCAGAAGCCTTCCTGAGGGCCTGAACTGATCGCTGTAGCCCATTGCACAGTGACAGAGCTGACGTTCTTCTACAGGGCGCATCTATAGGCTTCTATTTTAGTGCTTTGGCGTGACATTGTCATGAAACCTGCAGGCTTTTCAGAAGTTTCATTCTCTGTTTGTTTAGTACACACGCAAAGTAGTGAAAGAGTTGAGGTCCAGCTCGTCTTTTCACAGCTTGTGTGTGTGTTTCCCTGTGTATTAATCTCAAAAAGGATAGGGGAAAAGAACAGGATTACAAACAGCCACGCCACAGTTAGAAGGCACCAACCCTTAAAGTAGGTAAAGCTTCTACAGTTGGTCGGGTTGTCCATTTAAACAAGGGAACTGTTCAATACAAAAAAAACAAAAACAAAATAAGGTGTCTAATATTAATTCAGGTTTGATTTAAATTATTATAAAAAAACAATTCATGCACACAATAAAATGTAAAAGCAAATTCTTAATGACAGGAGGGTTGAAGACAATGCCTGGCAAAGACATGTCAGGTATTCACTTTTTTACAGAAAAGGCAAAGACCAGGAGGCTGAAGAATAACGGCAGCATTGTGACTAATATGACTGTTCAGAAAGAAATCAAGCGTTGACTGGATGACCGCGTACCTTAGTTTAGTCATGCTACTAGGTTGAAGGTGTTTGGACCTCGCTATAAAACAGTTATCACACTAATGACTTAACAGCATACCTTTAAAACACTGGTAATGTACAATATAATAGTGTACCTTCTGTAAAACATTTTAAAACCACTACCTTCTATCTCCTTGCAGCAACAATCCTCTTCTTTCTCCACTCAGCTCAAACCTCAGTCCTGGAGGGTTAGAGTCCTGCTACTTTGGGATGCATCAGTCAGTCTGTCATCTTCCAATGATCTGATATATCAGGTCTCAGGGCAACAGGTCCAGGAGTGAAAGGCATGTATCCATCTCCAGAGAAACATGCTTTGATTCTTCTCCGAGAGGGCTTCCCAAGCAGATGCCAAAACTACTTTGGTGGCTCTACTGAGATGACAGCTCCTCATCCAATCTCTAAGGCTGAGTCATGTCAGCCTCCAGAGGAAGCTAGTTACAGCCATTTATTTCCTGGATCTCCTTCTGTTTATCATGAACAATAGGTGAAAGTGAAAACGACAAAAAAATGGATCCAAACAAAAAGGATCAAAGTGGATAAAGAGTCCAAAGTTCAAAATAAACAAACTATAAAAGCTTCTAATAACTGACAGAACAGTATTCAGACTTCTGCTAAAGATGTGCAAAAAAACACACAAAAAAACACCCTACACTCATCTTTCACTGCAGGAGCAGAATCCAGCACAGAGTAAATACAAACAAATAAATAAAAGATTTAAACCGAGTACATTTATTCAGATGAATATACAGTATGTGCATTTTGCATTTAGGGTGAAAACCTAAATATGCTTCATCAAGGAGTTAATTGTGATTCTTTAAGCTTTACCTCTATTGGAAAAAGAAAATCTATTAAGCACCTTTCATTATCCAATTATTAATCTATGAATCAGAAAGGAGCTCACAGATTTATTGAACATTATTATTACTTTCCTTGGATTTACCTTATCAGATTCCTTCTGCTACACGGAAACATCTCCAGTAAGATGTTTTATTGTACATTTAATAAGTTGCTGGAAAACACGATATTGTACAAATAAATTGTTAACTATAGTGGATGTTAAAAAAAAAATCTTACATTTTGAACTCTGAGAAACTTCCAGATGAAAGGATTTTTTTCTAACATTTTAGTTAGAAATAATAACAATGAAGCTGAACAAACCCGACTGACAGAGCAGCATCTAGTGTCTTCTGCTGCCAAAAGAAATCAATCTTTAAACGAAGGTAAACATACAGGTGGCACTAAGAAAACAAGGAAATAAATCCTTTCGACAAAAATAATCCAAACCCTGGAGTATTAAATAAGACACTGCAGTGCATTTTAATTAGTTTCATGAGCTTAACAGTTTACATGTTTGCCACAAACAATAAAAACACTTTCACTGTCATTGTTGACAAAGACATTTGTTAAATTAAGAGCAATAAATTTGTGATTTAAACCCTCGGATATACTGCAGGTTAATGAGAAACGACTCATCAATGCAACACAACCAATAAGAAAAAAAACGACAAAGAGGAATAAGACAGCCGAGACAAATATACAACATCACTTCTGGTTTAAATAAGTAAATACGCTTAGAAGAAAAAAGAACCTTTTTAAGGTGCTCAAGGGTTATCTGAATCACAAAATCAACAACAAATTAGGCACTTCTTTAATATTTTTATGGTTTACCAAATTTGGAGCTATAAAAACTTTATCATTATTGTAGAAAATGGTTCTTTTTCTTTTTAGTTAAGGATGGACTTACCTCAGCATTCCTAAGCTAATATGTTACAAACCATCAGACTGGGCCCAATTCAACACAAACGACACATTTGATGAAGCTGCTGTGGGAGTTTCTAGCAGAGATGCAGATGTTGGTCCATCATCAGGCGTGTCTGAGTCTCAGTCCAGCAGAAATCAGATATAAACCTCCTCTGATCTCAGCCTCCCATTAGGGCAGCTGCTCAGCTCCCTGCTATGCAATTAAATAGCTGATTTCCAAAGTCATCATATTTAAAATGAATTTAAAAAAAAAAACAAAGTCTGCTACAAAACTTTTAAACCTTTAGTAAAAAAATACTTTTAGGCACCTAGTTTCTGTGCCGACGATAAATCTGGAGCAAATGCACCACAGGGATAAAGTTTGTGCAATTTTTGCAGTGTCTGTTTGTGACTCCAGTGAACAATGGGGACCTGCTGCAAGCTGGAAACAGCTTGTGAAGCCTGTGTGGTTTATTCCTGACTTTCTTTTTAATGCCATCACTCCATCCACCCATCCATCCAGTAATATTCATCAGTTAATGGAAAGTGGTCCAGGACAGGTTTCTCACAGTATCCTGCCTTTGTTTTATTGTTTTTCTTCTCTGTCCTGCCGGGTGGAGATGCAAGTTCACATTTAAAATGAGGAGTCCGTGCTCCGGGAGTGTCCATTGCTCTGCTCACACCACCGCAAGGCGTAGAAGTTCCTCGAATATTCAGAGGCCATCCGTTGAGCTTCTCCTTCCTAAACGACAAACATCCATCACGTCAGACACCGAGCATCACATTTGATCTGAAACCCATCCTGTCACACACATCAGTAAAGGGTCGTCCACGCATGCAGCCCCATCTCCCTGAGGCTAAATCAGTTTTGCTGTATTTTATTAAGTGTCTCAGGAGGTCAAGCTTAAAATTCTCCGTGCAGACCGCTGACGTCTGGCAGCCATGGCAACCAGATATGAGGCCGCTCATGAGGTGGACTCAATAAGCTGCGGTCAAGAAGCTAGATCAACACAGATCCTCCAGTTTAAAGTGAGGAATGAGGATCTGTGTTTTTTCAGACTTTATCCTAAAGAACAGATATAAATTCAAAGCCTGATTTAAGAATGGGATGAGACAACCGCTTTGTTTAAACTTTTTTAAACCATCATTTATTAAACACATTTAAAAATATACTATGATTTAACCTTCTTACAGTACATACTGAAACTATTGATTTTATAAGTTTTATCATTTCAAACTCATTGATTTATAACACATTGTTCGCTCCACCCAAATTTCATATTGCGTAAACTTATTTTTTGAAACACCAGAATTTGCATATGATTTTATATTTTGTTCAACTTTAATAAAATAAGATTTTTTTTTTCTTTATGATGGGTATTTAGAGGGTCAGTTACTCGATACCAAATACTTTTTTACATTTGAGTGTTTTTTAAGGCAAATTTTTTACTTTTTAGTAATAATATGATGAAGTAGAACTCCTCTTACTAAAGTACAATTTTTGGGTAACTTATCCCCCTCTTCATGACAGGCAAACAAAGTCCTGTTTGATGAGGAGATGGAAGTAAAATAACACAAAATTTAATTATTAATGTATTATAAAAAAACAAAAACGTGGAACATTTTTACTCTGCCCTCTCTATTCTGATTCCCCTCCCTTAAAAATCCCCTTCATAGCAAACTGCTGCTCTATTTCATTTCAGTATATAAAACCAGGGTCTAAATGTTCCAACCAGTATGGAGCAACAACTGACCTACCAAAACATGGCCGTCCACATAAACTACGTACGCATGTAGAGGATTAGACTAATAAGCAGACAATAACTGAACTATGAATGAGCTGGAAGATCCACACCACAGTGTAAGAATTAACGAACAGTAAAAATTTAAATAGTTAGTAATCTAGAAATCTGACCATAGTGGGAGAATTTCAAAAAAAGAGAAAATTGTTTAAATTTATACTGAATATAACAAATCTGGTTTTAAAACTATGCAAGTACAAGATGTGGAGGAAGGTTGACCTTCACCAATAATTCACGATCTAGTAGGTGAAATATTGCAGTTGCAGATACTCCAAATTGATGGAAAAGATGGATGGAGTTAAATTCAGGCTAAACCTGAATTAGGACTGTGGGGAAGGTTCCCCTTCCAGCAAGGATATATGAAATTTACAGATGGGTTAAAGTAGTCTACAAATTAGTACACCCATAACTAAGACCCAACATAGAGAAGCAGCATTTAGTTCCTATGTTCATAGTATCTTGCACAAACTCCTATAAGACTGTAAAAGTGCTGAAAACCTCAATTCTTTTAAGTAAAAGTTAAAAACCCATTTGTTTAGAGCTGCTTTTGACAGTTGAAGTCATTAACTGAGGTATCTTTAGTTTAAAGGGGTCATAGAATGATTCTATAGGGTATTTGGCGTTGGTATTTAAGGTTTCTGAATAGGGTGTGTAACATTGGTTGGGCTGAAAATGGCATATTAGCTGTTTTATGAGCCCTAATGCAAGCCTGGTTATAAGCCTCAGAATAAAAAGACAGGTTTTCTTCCTTTTATGGTATGCTCATGAATATTTAGATGAACTGTGCGCTGATTGGTTGGTTTACAACGAGCGAAGCTGCTGAGCAAAGACGCATCATAGCAACAAGCAGTCACTCACTGAAACATCAACATTGTTTATATGGTATGGTGACCAGACGTCCTCTTTTTCCCGGACATGTCCTACTTTTCATTCCTAAAAAAATCGTCCGGGATTTTGGTCGACAGTGCAGGACGTAGTCGAAACGCACAGGGCATTCAAACCGAGCAATCAGCTTCGGGGCTGGTCCGGGAACCCCCGGCGGACGGGGGCAGTATGCCAGCGGGGTACGGAGTGACTGAACCCGACACAGTGACTGTAGCCTGGCGGCCCCGTTCTTCCCCCCGCCTGCCGCCTCCAGCTGATGACGGGCGGCTCATGGCTCTCTGCTGAGGTCCCGCCCAGTCAGCAGCACAGCAGCCGACACTTCATATCCACCCTGCCAACCTTGGCCCGTGAACCAGTGGGTTGGTCTGTATTTAAATTTTGGGGCATGACAAAAGTACAGGCCACAACCAAATAAGGCAACATCCTCAAGTTGACGTCAGCTCGGGGCTTCGTTTGGATTCGCCTGTTTTATGGTGGAAGTTTAGAATTGTGACATTTGCAGAGAAAGGAGGTGCCGATGGGGTTTTACCTTCTCTGTACGTCCATTTCACTTGTCTTGCCTTGCCTTACATCATACCATGTCCATGCACTAAAACGGCCTAGTCAAAGTACAACTGAAAATCTGTGGCAGGAACGTAAAACTGAAGCTCTGACTGAGGCTGGAGTACCTGCTAAAAATAATCTTTCAATACTATCAAAGCTGTTGGAAATTATATATTTATATAATATTTGCAGCTCTATCCGGGAGATGCTGGGAGAGGCCTAGAAGATTTCCCATCTTTATATTTAGCTCCTAATAGTTCAGTTGATGTGGATTTCCTTATAGGGCACTGAAGCTGATAAATGTCAAACAATCATGTTCTGTATGAAGCCCACAGTTTTCACAGTGAATGGGAAAGTTACCTTGCTGTTGCCATTGCTGTGAGCGCTATCGCACATCTCTAAGGAGCTGAAACACAAACAGTAAGGTGTTTTTTTTAAACACAAAGGGAAATACAACACTGGATCAGCTGGAGAAAGAAAGAGGAAGAAGAGCACAGGTTCAAATTGGACACAGACACCGATAGATACAGTCAGTGAATCATAACATCATGAAATCAGACTAAACATTTGACACTTTTTCGGATCATATTTCTCCTGCTCTTAAGTTGATTCCACTCCGGTCCCCTGAATTATCACTCTTCCTCATACAGTCCTATACACAAACCTTTGCTGTTGATGCCTGGATACAGAGCAAAATCAATAGGAAACACCTGGAAGGTGACAAGAAACAGAACCGCCACCTTGGATTTGTGTTCATGTTAGTGGAAGTTCTAGCAGTGGTGGCATGGATCCCTGTGCCACTGCAGGATGCAGCTAGCTAATGAGCAGAGTGTGACAGCTGAAACAGCAGGAGGAGACGGCAGCAGCTTCAGATTGTGGACGTTTGTCTGTCGCAGCAGAGCGGAAGGATTTGGATTGCTGCCCTGAAAGGTTTCATGAAAAACTGAGAAAACAGATGGAGAGGCTGACTTAATGGTGAGCTTGAAGCTGAGCCAAACAAACCCTCTGTCAAAATTTTTTAGGATGCAAGCATGCATATTTTATTTCTTTTTCTTCTGGGTTTCGGCAATGATTAAGCAGACCTACTCTGTCTTTAGGTCTGTTTCCTCAACTTTCTGTGAAACCGATCATAACCGCAATGTGAAGATGCTGCTGTGTCTTCCTCAAAATGTCTGAGTTCTTAAACGTTTTCAGTCCCGGATATAAATGAGATTTTAAATCGGGCTCATAAATCCAACAGTTAAAGAACCCAGATCCTGTTGAAAAATACTTCTAGATCATGGTCAAATCACGGATCAGAGGATATCAATCCTGCACAGGTGTGACCTTTACCTCCATTTCTCCCTTTAAATAAAATGTTTTTAGGAGACATAAAATATATTTTTTTAACGAATAAATCTGTTCTCCTTGAACTTTGTAAGTTCTACTGTACTATATCAGCATCGAGGTTCAAGGCCACCTGTTCAGCATGAATATGCCTGATTAGCTGACAGCTCCTGATCGAGCCGCCTGGTTGGTCCAAGATTAGCCCCAGTGATTGGCAGATTGACTCACAGCAAGCGCGTCTTGGCTGAAAGCTGCTACGCTGTTCCGCATCTCATTCTCACTGCCACGCAATGGGATCAGTGACACGTTACCATGACGCGTGTCCGGCAGCACGCGGCTCACCCGGCTCTGCTGGAGTCCATCCTGGGGCCACAGGTTGCCTTCGTACTGAAATTAGGATGGAGAGGTGGAGACAATCAAGACAGAATAGTCAAAGAAACCTTGAATCATAGTCATCAGTCGGGTCATTGAAACCGTCCTGCTGAGACCAGCTGAAAAATACCCATTAAATCACTGCAACAAGTGTTTCTGTACAGAAGCTTTCATATTCATAAGCAACCAGTGTTAAGACATGTAAGCATAAAACAAACACAAACTGCACATTTAGTCAGTGGGGGAATTGAAATCTGTGTTATGAAACAAAAATAAAGATCAATAAATTGGTGGTTCATAGCCTGTTGAAACTTTCAGTTAGGACTATTTTCATTTTTTGGATAATCCATCAAATCTTTCTGCTCTAATAATATTAAAATAAGAATGGGAGGCAGATCTTATAGTTTTCAGGCTCCTCTCCTAAGGAGCTACCTACCAGAGTCAGTCTGTGAAGCAGACATCCTGCTTACTTTTAAGGGTAGGCTTAAAACTTAAACTTTTGAAGCTTATAGTTTAGAGTGGCTAAGGTTATTCTGAGCTATCTCTATAGTTATGCTGCTATAGGCTTAGAATGCTGGAGGACATAGAGAGCCATTTTCATCATTCTGCTTCTTTCTAGCTCTATTCTCCCACTCTGCTGTATGTTCCCTAATGTTATGTTCACTCTTCTTTATGTCATAGTAGCTTCATCTGCTCTCTTCCTGTTTGGCTGTGACACCATCCTGGAGCTTGTCTGCCTGGCTGTGTGTTTCCTGGACAGGGCCGCCTGTGGAGCAGGTTTACAGTTGCTTTTTGTATCTCTGCTTCTTTCTGTATGTCTGCTTCTGTCTCCTTGAACCCCAGTCGGCCTCGGCAGATGGCCGCTCACACTAAGCCTGGTTCTGCTGGAGGTTTCTTCCTGTTAAAAGGGAGTTTTTCCTCTCCACTGTCGCTATGCTTGGTGTGACAGATTGCATTTGAGTCAGTAAGTTGATGCATCATCAGCTGGTTTTCCTTAGGTAGAAAACTTTGAAACGGTCTGACTGTATGATCTGGTTGAAAAATCTCATTAAAGTGCCTTGAGATGACATGTGTTGTGAATTGGTGCTTTATAAATAAACTTAATTCAACTGATATATTTTAATTGACAAATTTTAAATGGACTGAATTAATTACACAATTTAAGTGACATTGACCATCCAATGCACTCTAACCTTCACCTACAGTACATACTCATACTGAATCACAGCTGGAATCACACCAATAACCTTCTAACTGTGGGACAAATAATACCCACTGCTCCATGGGTATGAATGTACAGAGACTAAGTCTTATTTTCCACTGACGAAAGCAAACAGATCCAGTAGAGGTAGGGGACATTTTACATTTAAGATACTAGCAAAAAAAATTATTTTTTGTTTCTCCCTGACAGGCCTCCCAAACACCTATTTAGCATGATGTAGCCTCTAATGGAAGCTCTAAGGACCTGGTGACCTCAAGTTGCCCCTCTTTGCTGCAGTACACCAACAGTGGAGACATTTTTACCTCCCTTATGCTGCTCTCTGTGTAGCGGGCAGATAAAAATCGCTCCTTGTTCAGCCCAGCTGCTAAAGCAGGCCTCTGTGTCGTCGTATTTATACCTCTTAACTAATTAAACATAAGATACCGTGACCAACTTTGCCAGCTAAAAACAATGCTGCAATTAGAGTTTTTAATTACGGTAGTAAAACTAGATATATATTAACCCACTGAATAAATGTACTGAAATTAAACTCTTGGTCTATTTTTTTAATGGATACCATGGTACAGCAATAAAAGAAAAACACATTTCAGAGTTGATTTATTAAGACAGCTTTAACATGGGTTGCCAGGACCAATATGTGTAAACTTGCTTGAGAGAGAAAACGCACCTGAATACTAAGAAATGTGGCATACCACTCCCTCATTTCCGTTTGGGTTTCGCAGCAGAGATACCTGTAAATAAATGGACAGTGATAAGGTGAGCCAGGCACCGAGGCAGAGAGTGTGTGCACGTAAGAGGAACAGATAAGCTCTGCGAGACGGAGGAAAATTTAGGAAAACAAAACAAGAAAACCAGCCATTAGTCAAAGATGTTAACCGATTTGGTCATGCCTTCACCTGTATTGTCCTGCCGTGACGTCAATGGAGTAAACGCAGAGAGAGAAAGGCAATTAGCCGGAGAAAGCATCGAGCAACCATGATTGTTATTATTTATCTCTGCCCGTTTGCATTTAAGCGAAGTGTTGGGTTTAGAAATAATAATGTTTGCTTGTTTTATTCCACTCCGGCTGGAGTCCAGCTCCCCTCTGAGTCATCGGTTGCATCGTGATGATGAATAAACGGCTTTATTTATACAGATATTACTGTGAGCAGCATAGATCCAGACTAAAACAATTATTCCAGAGCTTTCTACTGAGTGATGAAGATAAAACTAAACAGCAGTGTGAGGAATACCACACACAGTCTAAAAAAAAAAAAAAAAAAACTCACACTTGCTCTCTGTGCCTTGTTAGGATCATTATGCCTAATAGAGCTCATTAGTGCTTGTTACTGTGAATCAAAAGAGAAGCAAACGTTTCTACAGTTCATGTCTGCTAAGACAGTTTTCACTTGTTTGTTGCTTTCACGATTTACTGCCAATGGTTCTACGTCGTCAGCTGTAAACAACTGGGAGCTAAATGAGAGCTGCCGCAGAGACGAGGCATATTTTGTAACAATAAAGCCAGAAAACAGGATAAACTGGAAGTATTGTGGAATTTTAGCAGATAGGGGGAATAAATACAGCGTTATCATTCTCTGTGCCACGTTCTCCCTATCCACTTCATGCTTTCCCTCTGCCTGTCTTGATGTTCTCCTCTCAGGTGTGTTTTTAGATGGAAGAGAAGTGACAATGGAGCGTAACAAAACGATAATATGTCCCCCAGCGTGACGGGGACAGGGCTCCTATTACATCTGCAAAGATGTTTACCGCTGTTGACAACGTGGGCCCCAGTGTGACGTGCAAACAAACGCAGAACTAAGGTGTTTGTGCAGAGGCATAACCATCAGGCCTTAACACTGGAGAAACAAAAGAAAAATATTTCCATCCAATATTAATGTTCAATATAATCCTAAGCTTCATCTCAACATTTACTCATTTGTTTTTATGTTTTATATATGTTGCAATATTATGAAAGTATATGAACAGTATACTAACAAAATAAATATAACAAAAATATAACCACCTGAGTTTTTATTCCTTGTTGCTTTTTAAACTCTATTGTCTAGCTCCATCACAATAAACCTAATTCTACATGGCTATTCTTCCAGGCATTATTAATATGTTCATTGTGTTAAATCAATAGCATCATAGTAAAGATACTCTCAGATCAGCTTTAATGAACAATTTTTATCCTCCTAAATCCTCCTGCACCATACAAGATCTTTAAAACTACCCAAACCTGGCTAGATTGTTACACTTTTGAAAACCATTTTTAAAAATTCAAGGTAAACAGTCTTACTGCCCTCTTAAATACAAACCTGCACATGTTGTTTCTTTATGTAAATTTGTATTTTTATGGGCTTATTAGCACTTATGTTTCACACTGTCTTCTATGTGCATCCAAAAGCCCACAAGAGTCTACAGAGACCTTCCATGTTCTGCTAATTCTAATGTCAATGTGCATTCTTAATCCAGTGCAAACGGGGGCCTAATACACACATTACACTGCTCCACAGACACATACAGCGGATTAGCGTTGTGAAGAGCCATGGTTGTAGGTATAACGGTGCGTTTCCCCTCTAGGTGGAGCCGACCTTTCGTATTCCTCCCTCTCCAAACTCTCATGCAGGGATCTGACCTGCTTTCTCTGAGTAAAGGAAAGCCTCCAGCTTCCTCTGATGTTTGTCATGTTTACATGCATATCATGAATATCATGGAGCTGACACTAAGGCTGAAAATACCACAGCTTTCTCAACTTAAAGAGGCGGATGCTTTAGGAAAACCAAGACAGCAAAGGCTTGCAAGGAACATAGTTAACTCAGTGTTGCACCAATTTCTGGTTACCTTCACTCAAAAAACACAAAAAAACAAAACAACAGCAGTTTCCAAAATTACTGTTTATAAGACAATTACTGTAGCAGCAGTATTTGATTAAAACACTCCATATTTCTCTATTTTGACAGAAAAAATATAATGCCGGATATTTTGTTAATGCAGGAAGGTAAATATTTTCCTCATAATTTGGTTATAAATGTTAAATGGCCTGTACTATTACAGCACTTTGCTCAAGTCAGAGGACTTGAGCAAAGTGCTTTACACTACATTCAGTCATTCACCCGTTTAAACACACTCACACACTGATGGTGGTGAGCTACATTGTAGCCACAGCTTCCCTGGGGCTCACTGACAGAAGCGAGGCTGCTGTAAACTGGCGCCACCAGTCCCTCTGACCACTATCAGTTGGCAATGCAGGTGAAGTGTCTTGCCCAAGGACACAACACTGAAAGATGGAGCCAGGTCTTGAACCGACAACCCTCCGGTTGAAGGGAAGAGAGATCAGAGATCCAAACATTACTCTTTGAGAGTTGGCTTGATCAGTTTTTTTTTCTCTTTTAGAGGGTCTTCCAAAGTTTTTCTTTGAGGTCTGCCATCTTTTGCCTTGAGTCCAAAGTCCAGTATCTCACTTATCTAAAGACAACCAATCAATTTGTTGTTTGTCAAAATGGTGAACTCTGACTTATGATCATTGGCACATAGAAAAGGTTTGAAGTTCAAGAACTAGCTAACAGCAGAACTAACTAACAGCAGATGATCAGCATATGAATGGTGCTGCTGCTGTGTTGGATTTTTTTATTTTTTTATCCTGAAGCAGGGATTGCCATTCCTCGAGAATATAATATCTGAATTCCTTCAACAAGTCAATCAGCTTAGCAAAGGCCAGGTAAGAAAACACTTATCAGATTCAGGTGTGTTGGAGAAGAGGTATATCTAAAAGTAGCAGGATTGTAGCTCCAGAGGTCTGAACTTGGACTCACCATTGTTGTCTCTCTGGCTTGTCTTGTTTCTTGCTCTCGTACACAACAGTCAGACCCCAACTAGAAGCAGAGAGTGAGAAGAAGGCAAAGCCATGTTCAGATATTATACTTAGACTCAGGCTGCCCTCTTGTGGTGAATCTGAATACTTACATGTTTTATTGGGTTACCAAAATAGGAATTATTAAAAGGGACTAAGTTTAATTATCATTACTTTGCTTGAACCCCTTTTTATAGAGGATGAACCACCTCTGCCAAACATGAACACTATTCTCCTAAAATACTAGTTCTGGACATGCAGAGAGGGATCTTTGAGTGTTATCATAACCTCTAAAGATCAGTGACATCCAACATTAAACCTTGAGGATCAGTGAAATGCATATTCTAGATGCAGTGAGGCCTAGCCCTTTGAGAACTGGAGTTAGACACCTCGGCTCCAGATCACCTGAAGCAAAGCTCCTTCCTAAAGTTCTTCTCTGTCCGACTGACTTCTCAGGTTGGTTGAAGATTTAAGACTGAGGGGATTACAGAGGAAGGTTGTTTCTTTTTTAACGTAATGTTCGGGATTGTTATCCTGTTAAAAAACTAACAATATGCCGGTTTCAGTGTTTCTGGTAGAAGTACTTATATTTTCATTTTGAAAAACTCTTAAAAAAACCCAAAGAGTTCATGATGTCGCCCTAAAAAAAACAAGACACCAACCGGTGTCACTCAGTGTATCAACTTGTTTTCCCACATATTTATCATTTATTCATGCAAAGCAAACCTGAACAGCTCCACCCTAGTCTTGTTTTAATGAAGCCACACTGAGGGCTAAAAATATTTGAAGTTATTATTTTTTGGAGATATTAAAACTACTCACACCTGGTTTCACCAGGTTGGTTATGGATAACTAAAGGCATGAGGAGTTTAAAATGTAATTCATAACTGGGATCCATCTCCTTTGCTTCTGTAAATTAGTTTTTTTTTCTTGTTCAGTGAATAGATTTTTTTAAATTTGTAATTGTGCATTTGTTTACCATGTAGGAGGACGGAGCTTCTTCTTGATCCCCAAATAAATCTTCAAGTTCTTCACCCCCCAATCCCGTTCTGGCTTGTTACTCTGATGAGAAAAAACAGAACAGCTCGTTAGCATGTGAAGGAATGTGCCGAGAGAAAATATGGGCTTCTAGACAACGGTAAATTTCATCTGATGTTTTACTGGAACTCTTACCCTAACATCCTTGTACATTCTGAGAGAAGTGCTGTTGAGAATGAAAAATCGATCGTGGAAATTTCCGGTGGGCAGCCCCAAACCCAGGAATGCTCGCTCCTCTCTGAATTTCATCATCCCATGTTTGGATACGTCCACTTTAGTGCCTGAGAGGGGCAAACAGGGGAAATATGATCATACATGAAGAACGATGGGAGATTTACAGAGAGAAAGGTGTTTATTTATTTTTTCTTGTGCTTACCAAGATAGGTGATCATGGCGTCCATAGCAGGCTGCTTCTTGATGAGTAGAAGAGACTCATTGCCAACAGAGTGAAGGATGGGTAAGACCCGCTCCTGATAATGCAGGGGACGTTCTAAAGAAGCAGAAAAAATTAACAATGAAGGGGTTTCTTTTATTGTGAAAGGATGAGAGACAGGAAGGATGAGAATCAGAAACTGGTTTCTTGACTTGTTCTGGGAATTGTGTCAAATCAGCAGGCATTTTACTGGCATTTGATCACCCATCAACAAATTCCCTGGCAGAGGCCCAGGCGGTCTGACATACCAAGCCAACAAAACAAAATAAACAACTCTGAGTAAAAAGCCACACTGCTGAGCAGGCTCTTTCTTTCAAACGGGTTTGTTTCTTATATAGAGTGAGGGGTACTTTACAGAGTATTTACTGTTGTTTTTGTTTTTCTGTGGCTTGTTTCATCCGTCGCTGCTAATTCAACACAGCTTTTATTTAGGCAGATAAAACTGCTGGTTCTCAGGCTAAAAACTCAAAGCAGTTTGGAAAGAAATGGCTGTTGGGTCACAGAACTTACTATTTAAACCTTAACCATTTCATGCTTGGACTGTTCTGATCCTGTTAAATCCAAATTAGAACCATTTGCTTTTCATGCGCCTTTAATGGTGTTTCGCTGATTTAGTCTATCTTTTATTTCATCCTTTTATGTTTATTGGCCTATTGTTTTTTTAGCTTGCAAAAGTCAGATCCTTATCTTGTATAGGTTCAATAAAAATCAAGCTACAGCCTTGGTTCCAGCTCCACTGGTAGGTTTTAACCTGATCAAATCAAAGATCAAATAAATAATAATAATAATTGAACTTTATTGATCTCACATTGGAGAATTTTACCTCTGCATTTAACCCATCTTGTTGGGGAGCAGTGGGCTGCCATTGTGGGGCGCCCGGGGAGCAGTGTGGGGGTTAAGGGTCTTGCTCAGAGACCCATAGTGGCAGTCTGGGGGAGTGGGGCTCAAACTCAGAACCTCAGGATTCCAAGCTCTATGCCCTAACCACTAGCCCGCCACTTCCCCCTCAATAAACAAAAATTATGATCTTAATTATTAGGAATACTGGCAACACTAATAGCTTATTATTTACATTTACTTACATTTATCAGCACAGATATATCACTGGTGCTGCATTTATTTAGTCTGTCTTTGTTGGGACCTGTCATTGATTATGAGCGCTTCTTCCTTTGCTTTTAGCTGAATCCCAGGAGAGACTCTACAAGAAAAATATTAGGGAGCTAATGCATTTAAGTTAAATCCAGATTTTTTAAAACAAAAGATAAAATTTGTTGTAAATGAGGTTCATTGTGATTTTGGTTATATGAAAAAACGCGGCAGGAGAAAAGAAAATATAAAATCAGATATTTTAAAATCGTTTTTAAATTACTTTCACTAAACTTTCCTCCATTCTTTAAATTGTTTCTGTCAATGCAGGGTCTCACAAACTCACATATGCACGCAGAATATATGTATGTAGACACAGAATACAACACAGAACAATAGGGAAGTTATTGTATTTCCTCCTCCTCTTTAACTTCACTTTTCCAGTTGTCTCACCAATTTCTTCCTTTTCGCAGACTTCCCAGCAGCTCCAGTAATCCTTTTCCTTGACTGGAATGTTACGCCGGTCCAGAACCTCATACGCCAGCTCTGCTGCAGTCATTGAACCTGGAATCTGAGAGATAAAAAAAACAAAAACAACCAAAAATCCAGAATTTATCCAGAATCAGCACAAAAAAAGGAGATGAATTCTCATTAATATAGCTAGTATTTGCAGTGAAGAGAGAAAAATGGGAAAATAAAACATAAAAGAAGATTTTAAAGTCTAGTTTACCTTTACGTGCTGCTCTGCTGTGGCTTTCAGCTCTTCCAGATAGACGGTGCAGATGAAGTGGCCATCGCCTTCGGTTCTAGGATGTATCTAAAACAGGAAAATATGCAGAGAAGGTCGGACCGATTTCCACAGCATGCAAAATTAGTGTTTAATAATGCCGTCTAAATGTGGAGCAAATGCAGGAATAAAGAAGTGCCTAAAGTAAATTTAACGTCCTTTAAACAGCTTATTATAACATGCAGCTTTATCCATTCAAAAATTACAGCCATTGTTTATAAAACTACTGAGGTCCCTCGTTAACATGCTTTAAGCAAAATGCTTGGATTTTACTTCTAACATACAATGATCCCTGTTTAGAAAGTATGGCTGTAATCAAAGTTCATAAAGTGTAATTCTTGGAATAAGCTGAAAATCTTCAGTCATCTGAAGCACCATATAACAATAAGGAAGCAGGTCAAGATTAAACTTTAAACTATATATTAGTCTACCATGACAGGCAAGTAAACAGCATGAAGTCTGTTCTAAAACAGTGAGAAGGAAACAGACATCAGCGTTTCTCACAGGAAACTTGGTGTTGAGTTTTTCCCGCATTTTGATGATGGCTTTGATCTCCTCCAGCTGCTTGTTCAGCTGCTGCTCATCCACCTGCACAACGGGGAGGAACACAGTCATTCACACACAAATCCAACTCTGTATGATGGCATTCTGCTGAGAGTTAAATCTATTTTCCTATAACCCAGAATCTGCAGTAAGCGTAAAACTGAGATACTAGATGAGGAAGAGGAAAACATTTTAGATTCACAGAACAGGTGGAAAGAAAACCCCTAAATACCTGTTGCTATCATTTCAGCAAAAGATGCTCTTTATCTAACATTTTAAAGCTCAGACAGCCTTACAGATCTAACCTATGCTTGTATTGGTCATCAGTGACTGACCTCAAATATGAGTATGTAGTGCTGAATGAGGTCCTCTATGGCTCGGCCTGCAGTGTAATCCTTCCCGTCGGTTTGGAACAGAGTGGGACCAAACACTATGGCCAGGTTGTGGAGATTCATCTGATTTAAGTCAGCAAAACGCTGCACGCTGAAAAGCAAACAGAGGAACCGACAAATCAGAGCACTGAAGAAGACGATAAAAGCTTTAGTTTCAGTTTAACCTCCTCTCACCAGTAGAGGTGATTGATGAGGGCTTGTAGTGTAGCCTTGTTGACGCGAGGAAGTCTGTCCAACAGGACCTTGTACTCAGAGATTTTCTCATTTTCATCCTGGATGGCTGGAATAGAAGACAGAGAGTAAAAGGAGAGAAAGGAAAGAACTAAATAATGACATCTGGTAAGGCTGGTTTGCAAATGGCTTCACAAAATCAAATCTGATCTTATTTTATATGATAAAAATTCAAATAATGTTTCCAGATTTTTCTTTAACGATTAAAAAAAAATAAATAAATAAAAATTGCTTTTTTTCCTTAAGCTCCATGAAATTTCATTCAATTACAATGGGTCCATCAAAATATTTCAAGGTTGGCACAGATTGGTTTTCAGAGGGTAGTGTAAATGGGGTATATGTCTCTGTAATCCTTGGTCTTGGTTAATCGGGTCTTGAGTGCAACACTAGAGAAAAGTGCGGTGTACATTTCTATTCAGTCCTCTTTGACTCTAGACTTAATGAAATCCCCTTTAACTGCACATGCAGTTGTAAGTCTTTTGGGTTTTTCTCAAGTTTTGCACTGTTAAAATAGATAAAAAACAATCACAGTTCAGGCAAACCAGTAAGAGTGTCTTTGAAATTCAGTTTTTGCCAGTATGCTCAGCTGAATTTGATTCTGGGCCGTCCAATATCTGAATATGCTTTAATCCAAACCATTCCAGCATATGCTTGGTGGGAGGGATTACTTACGACTCAATAAGTCAATGCAATCAGCTGGTTTTCCTTAGATAGAAAACTGAAATAATCTGACTGTATGATCTGGTTGAATTGTCTCTGTAAAGTGTCTTGAGATGACATGTGCAGTGAATTAGCGTTATATAAATAAACTGGATTGAATTGAATCTCTGGATGTAGGATTAAAGCTGTTGTCTCGCTGGAAGGTTGACATCTAACTCCTGTCTCAAGAGTTTCCCAGTTATACTGTCTTCCCTTTAACTTAGTTCAGCTTCCATTTCCCTTCTAAATAAAACCACTCCAACCATATACAGTAATGCTTCTACTGCAACGTTTTGCAGTAGAGATATAGGTAGAGATTGATGTGCCATGCTAACTTACTGCCACACAGCAGCTTTACATCCAAGCCAAAAACCTTCCTTTATAGACAGAATCTGCTGATCTCCTTCGCTGCCACAGATCAAAACAAGTAGGGTCTTCACATTATGCTATTATTATTATGTTTTGTTAATGTTTTATTCAACATTTTAACATTAATTGATTTCCATTTGGTATCAATAAAGTTTTTTTTTATTGAATTGAATTTTATCATCACGTTTGGTTCGAAAGTTGAAAACATTTGGAAACCATTGCCTTAAGAATGTGGCAAACTAGGAACAGGATTTCTCATGGTTTCCTTTCAACAATGTTTTTCTTCTAGTTGCTGTAATTCCTATCCTGTTGTCAGACAAAGATCACAATTTTGTTCAAGTTTCTTTTCTGTTCATAAAAAAAACCTAATTAACTAACACCATGTGAGCTGTTTGGTACCATTTTATCCTCACTCAGACAGTTGTGTTAAACCTACCAGTGGCACCGAGCCAGTTAGAGCCATTCTCAGTTGTAAATAGCCCCTCCTCCAAGTCCCTGAAGAAGCGCTTGAGAGTGTTGGAAACGTCATCCACTTGATGCTCTCCTTCCTTCAGACGGAGACTGCGAGCATCTTGGCGAAATCTTTCACATAAAGCTGCCACACGGGAGTTCACGCCGCTTTTTCGGTAAATCCCCTCTGAGGTCAAGCCTACAATAGAAATAAAAAATATATTGACATAAAATCCGACCAACATACGGTAAAGAACACTCATTAGATGTAAATTTCTATGTTTATTAGGAAGCTAATGCTTTTGTTTTGAAATAATACAAATCTTAATAAACAGCAAATATTCCTCCACTGGTTCAGGCTTCAGATACGTAACTATAAATACTATGATAGACCAAAAAGTTTTTCATGTGTGGTAAAAAACCTAAGAGTAAACCTGTTCTAAATGTGAAGCATCTAAATGAGCTTTTATAAGGTGAGTGCGACCAGGAAGTTCTGGTAAGGCTGTGAGTACAAATACAGTATTTGTAGGTTCAATTGTCTTCATACTCAAGAAAAGTCAATTGATCTCCTAAAACTGTGACATTCAAGCAGAATTTAAAACAAAAAGAACAAAATCAAACTTTTGTTCAGCTTTTCCGGAAGCCTTTCAGCACCTATCCAGGAATCTTTGTCAATTCTGGCCGCTGTTTTAATGCACCTGGAGGCTCATCCTCCTGAACACATTCCAAGTCAGATGTAAATCAGTGACCAAGCCATCATTTTACTCAGATGTTGGAGTCTGTTGTTTGTTGTGAGCTGTGTACTAATAGACTATCTGAATCATGATGAAACTTCTTGTTTAACTTTTTTAGAATGAGTTTTAAGACAAAGTTATACAAGTTTAGGAACTGGAACAGCATTCTTCCCCCCCAATGTTTAGGGATAGCTTTTCTCATTTTAATAAAGATGGCTTCCATCATACCTCTTTCAAACCATCTCTGTCCAAGATCTGAACATCATGATGGTCAAAGGCCTGTCCTTTGTCCTCTAACTGTGATCAAATAGGTGATTTTTCCCCCAAGCTACTGTCTGTCCTGTGCTTCACCGTGCAGCAGGGTTATGGAGTTATCTAGTTTCCCTGATGTAGGAGTCTGAGCAGCACTAGACCACACAGAGAAGGCTGCTCAGCTTCAGTCTGGGTTTTCTGTCCTTTGGTTTGAACCAGTTTTTATCTAAGGGTGTTGGGTTTGAAGTTAACTTTTGTGTTGTGTTTAGAGAAAATCTTTATTAGTTTCTTATGTTTTTACATGATTCAAATAGCAAAAAGACACACAGGTTAAAAATGGCCTGGTCACTAATCTGCATCAGACTTGTGATTTGCTTAGAAAGATGGGCCTCAAGGTGCTTAAAAATATCAGTGCTGCATCTAGAGCACATAGAGAAAACAAGAAATGACATAAACTTCTTGATAGGCTTCAAAAGGTTTTCAGAAAAACTGAGGGGAAAAAAAATGAGAACTTCTTTGTTAAATGCAAGGGTTTTTTCCATATTCATTTCTAATGGTTAAAAGCTGTTTCTCAGTCCGCTGGCTACTGTTTTCCTTATCAGCCAAACAAACAAAGATTTCAGTGAAAAACATGCAGCTACTACACCCACAACAACACATCATGAACATCTAGTCCTGTACCTCTGCTTTGTTGTTTGTTTAGTAAAAGCAGCTGTCATCAAATGCTAGTTTTAAACAAATCTGAGTGTTACTGTGTGAACAAATCTCTCTCTAAAATGAAGGACAGCAAATGTATTCCCTCTCATATAACCAGAGACAGAGTGTGTGTGGAAACAGGAACAAGCATGCAGCTCTAGATCACGCTGTAAAGGAAGACTGCATTAACTGAATCCACAGAAGAATAAGGAAACAGGATCCGTTTTCCCGGCAGGAGGGTGGGAGGAAGGCTTAGAGATGAGAGATAAAGTTGAGAACACAAAACAGAAGGAAAGAAAAGTTTAGAGGGAGAACGGAGAGAAATGGAGGTGGAACAGAGTCCCTTTGTTGTCGTCTGGTCCGTTGATCTCTCCCACAGCCTTAACCTTGGTTACAGTCACGAGTACACAGACACAGGTGGGGCTGTCTCAGAGAATGGTAGATTAGCACCACAGAAGTAGCATGCAGACCAGGAGTTATGCTGGAGAACATAGTACCATCCACTGGGAATATTAGTTAATAAATGTAAGGCTTTAATTAATGTAATGTTTTTGGGTTTTCTTTTACTCTGAGAGCTCCTAACAAAACTCCTTGCAACTAATTTCCTTCAAAGTCAATGGATTAGGAAATGATTAGAAGCAACTAAGAGAACAATGCTAACGCTGGAGGAGGTGCAGGTTTCTACAGCCAGGAGTGATAATATGTCAACAGTAAGACCTTTGGTTAATGATTCACCTAATCTGAGGAACAAAAAGGAAGCCAGTTGTAGAAAAAAAAAAAAACAGATACAATCTTGATTAAAGTTTCCCATAAGCAATGCAGGGGTCAGAGCAGATATGTAGACAAAGCCAGCCTGATCAAATAAGGCCAAAACTGAGCTTAATGACCTACATGCAAAGCACTCCTGAGGACCCACTACACATTATTCTGGATACACCATCCCCATGGTAAAACAAGGTGATGGCAGGCTTAGGCTGTGGGATGCAAGTCAGAGTTGATGAGAAGGTAAATTGAGCTAAATACAGGGCTGGAGGACAATCTGCTAAAAGAGGATAAAAGAGTGGAAGAGATGATTCCATGATATCAAGTAAGCAGACCTGAACCTAGAGCCAGAGCTAAATGTTTAGATCAATGAGAATGTCTAGCGATGTTTGAAAACTCAAAGTTTTTTAAACTGAAAACAGGGAAAATCTGACTTTTTATTCAGCATCTGTTTCAGTCACCATAGTAACATTCTCACCAGAGCTAACCTGGTTGAGAGCAGGTTTTCTTCAATAAACTCAGGAGTGTCCTCCGTCTCCGCTCTCCATACAGCCAATCACGCTGTTATTAGGGGTGTGGGAAATAATCGTTTTGGCGATATATCGTGATATTCGGCTGCCCAATATAATATCGATCTTTCACTTCTTAGTATCGATTTTCAAAAAAAAAAAATGGTTACATAAAACATTGATGGGAAAATTGGCTACCTCTACACCACCACTTTGGCAGAAAGCGCTGTGGAGCCCTTTAACTGTGCGTGCAGCAC